TCACAAAAAATAATGGACGTAGAGAAGAAGAGCAACGCACAGCAGCTGGCCTCCACTGGCGCGAATGTCCCAGAAAAGATGGAAACGGAAACGAAGAAGAAGGATCTTATGAAGCTGGTGGTGGACGACCCGTGGCTGGAGCCCCACAACGACAAGATCAAGTGGCGCTACGAGCGCTTCGAGGCCCTGAAGAACGAGATTGAGAAGGTCGAGGGCAGCCTCGACGCCTTCAGCTCGGCCTACCAGGACAAGTTTGGCTTCATCAAGCGTCCCGACGGCGTCACCTACCGCGAGTGGGCTCCCGGCGCTGCCGAGGTCACCCTCACGGGCGACTTCAGTACGGCCTCTTTTAATAATTGTAATAATAATAATATTGTACCTTCCACTCACACTCATGAGTGCACGCGCTCTCCAATCGGCAGATGGCTGGAACAGAGACACGCACAAGATGCAGAAGGACGAGCACGGCGTCTGGTCCGTCTTTGTGCCCAACGCGCCCGATGGGATCGCCATTCCCCACGGCAGCAAAGTCAAGGTACACCGCCGCCGCCGCCGCCGCCGCCACAGCTGAGATGCTTTGGCCTGACACACGCCCTCTCCTATGCGCACAGGCGGTTGTCGGCTACCGCGATCAGCACGGTCAATACAAACGCGAGGACCGCATCCCTGTGTGGGCCAAGCGCGTCGTCGAGCACTTCCACGACGGCCAGCGAATCTTTGATGGTACGCACGCCCGCTACCCAAAGCGACTGATGCAGGTTCCTCATACCTTCCTCTTCACTGTGACCAGCCGTGCACTGGGATCCTCCGCAGCAGTACCAGTGGAAGAACAAGGCCCCGTCGAAGCCCGCCAGTCTCCACATCTACGAGACCCACGGTACGCCCAGTGTCGCTCGCAGCACTTTCTGTGTGCTGCCGTCCCCGGAAAACACTGTTTCTGATCCGCTCCACTCCCATTATAGTTGGCATGTCCAGCCGCGAGCCTCGCGTGTCGTCCTACGCCGGTACACCTCTCTCTCTCTCTCTGACCGATGCAGTCGGTCGCAATGCAATGCCATGTGAAACTGACTGATGCGTGATGACTTTGGTTTGGTGTGCGTTGGTGCTGATCAGAGTTCAGGCAGCACCTGCTGCCCTACATCAAGGAGACGGGCTACACCGCCATTCAGCTGATGGCCGTGATGGAGCACTCCTACTACCCCTCGTTCGGCTACCAGGTCACCAATTTCTTCGCCGTCTCGTCTCGCTTCGGCACGCCCGAGGAGCTCAAGGAGCTGGTCGATGCCGCCCACGGCCTGGGCCTGCAAGTCTACCTCGACCTCGTACGCTCTCGTCTTGATATTCGTTTCGTGTTTCGTTTCGTGTTTCCTTTTGTTTTGCGTTTGTTTCGTTGATCTTATTCTCACGCATCCATTTGCGCACAGGTCCACAGCCACGCCTCCCCCAACGTGGGCGACGGTTTGAACAACTGGGACGGCACCGAGTACCACTACTTCCACTCCGGCGGAAAGGGCAACCACTCTGGCTGGGGCACGTACGCACGCCCTCCTCCCCACCTCCCCACCCCAATGCTCCAATGCCACACTGCCCCCCCCCCAGAACAAAGAGGGACTCACACATCTGGGACTGTGTTCGTCTACAGGCGCCTGTTCGATTACGGCAAGTGGGAAGTGCTGCGCTTCCTCATGAGCAACCTCAAGTGGTTCGTCGACGAGTACAAGTACGTAGCACTACCCCCTCCCCTCCCCGATTCTCTCAATTGGCACCGAACTGACTCTGATGAGTGCGCGTGTGCACCAGGTTCGACGGCTTCCGATTCGATGGCGTGACGTCGATGTTGTACGTCCACCACGGTAACTACACCTCCAACTGGGACTACGACACCTACTTCGGCGGTGACGTCGACGAAGACTCCGTTCGCTACCTGCAGCTGGTACGCACCTCTGCCTTGTCCATCGCGCCTTTATTGCCGTGCTCGCCGTTGGCCAACAGCCCCTCATTGACCGTCACACCACCACCACCCACCACCCACCACCCACCACCACCCACCACCACCAGGCCAACTACATGCTTCACAAGAACTACCCCGGCATCGTCACGATCGCCGAAGGTACAGTGAGTCGCCTTCCGGTTTCGCATTGTCCATGGCACTATGCGCTGGCTCACCACTGGGTGTCGTTGTTCGTCATTATACGACAGACGTGTCGGGAATGGCTGGGCTCTGCCGTCCGGTGGAGGACGGAGGCGTGGGCTTCGACTACAGGCTCGGCATGGGCCTTCCCGACATGTGGGCCAAGATGTGCACCGAAGTCAAGGCACGTCGTCGACACGCCCCGCCCCGCCTCGCCGGATTTGCGTCGTCTCGTTATGGCTTACATTTCGAACGTTCTTGTGCGCGCAGGACGAGGACTGGAGCATGCAAGGCATCGTGTGGGACCTGACCAACCGCAGGTGGAATGTACGTCACGTTGGCGGCGCCATCGTGCCACTGCATTAGAACCAAATCTGCGCGGGGCTCTCACACTGCAACAACAACAATGGACAATGACAGGAGGCGACCGTCGCCTATTGCGAGTCGCACGATCAGTCCCTGCAGGGAGGCAAGACGATCGCCTTCCGTCTCATGGACAAGGAGATGTACTGGCACATGTGTACGCTCTCTCGTCTTGGCGACCCTCTCGTTTTATTTACCCTCCCACCCTTCTCTCTTTTTCTTCTCTATTTTTCCTTCTTCTTCTTCTTCTTTTGGTTGGCAAGCCTTCACCTGCCCCTCCACAGCCACACTGCAGCCTCTCCACATGACCATCGATCGCGGCATCGCTCTCCACAAGATGGTACCCTGCCGTGTGTGTGTGTGTCGTGTGTGTGTGTGTGTGTGTGTGGTGTGCGTGTGTGTGTCGTGTGCGTGTCGTGTGCGTGTCGTGTGTGTGTCGTGTGTCGGCTCACCCTCGCTTCAACTTGAATGCTATAGATCCGTTTGATTACGCTGGCCCTCGGCGGTGAGGCCTACCTCGCGTTCATGGGCAACGAGTGGGGCCACCCCGAGTGGGTCGACTTCCCGCGCCCGGGCAACAACAACAGCTACGACAAGTGCAGGCGCAGGTGGGACCTCCTCGAGGACAAGCTACTCAGATATCAGCACATGTACAACCTCGACAAGGCCATGCTGCGCCTCGCCAACGACCACCCCTTCCTCAACACCAGAGAGGTATGCACAGCAGTCGTCGTCATCATCTTCTGTCACATTGCGAGAAATGCTCACACACACACACACACACACACACGACACACACGACACACACGACACACACACACGCTCACACAACGCACACAGTATGTGATTGTGAAGCACGAGGACAACAAGCTGATCACCTTCGAGCGCGGCGAGTTCTACTGGATCTTCAACTTCCACCCGACCAAGTCGTTCCCGGACTATCGCGTGGGCGTGACCCAGCCGGGCAAGTACGAGATCATGCTCGACACCGACGCCGCCGAGTACGGCGGCCACAGCCGCATGCAGGCCGGCGTGTCCTTCTTCACCGAGCCCAAGGCCTGGGACGACAGGCCCAACTCCATGCTCGTACGCGCCTCCCCTCACGTCCTTGACAACAAGCTCTTCGTGAGAGCGACGCACTCACAACCATCACTCACCACTAATCGTTGTATGTGGTGCGCACCAACAACAACACACGCAGATCTATGCTCCCTGCCGAGCGGCGTTGGTCCTGAAGCGCGCCCAGGAGTGAGTGTGCGCCAGCCACCACCGCACATCGAACCCATGCCTGCGCTGCGAAACGTAAAGGAGACGAGACTTTTCCGCAGCTGCCCCAATTTTCTTTGCCGAACTGGAACGGCCAAGCGTCGTCGTCTTAGGAGAGCGGCTGGAGCGGGGAGTCGGGTCCGCCGAGGGGCTGGGCGCCCTTGTCTTTGCCTTTGCCCTTGCGGAGGCGGATGGCGGATCGCCAGGCCGGGTTGCGGTTGCGGGCAAGGAAGGCCTGCCTCCGCTTTCTTCGCTCCGACATCCTCTTCTTCTTCTCCCCCTGCTGTTGCTGCTGTTGCTGCTGACCACCTTTCGTCGTCTTCTGCGCACCCTGGGCGTCGGTGACACCGTGCACCTCGTCGATCGAGTCGTCTTCGTCATCATCGCCATCCGCGAATGCGTCCTCGAAGTCGTCGTCGTCGTCGTAGTCTTCTTCTTCCGTTTTCGTTGGTGTCGGCCGACCACTCCCGGCAGTGCGTCGCATTTCCTCTTCGGCTTGTTCGCCAAAGTCGTCGCGGGTGCGCGGTTGCGTGCCGGGCTTGGGCACCTTGCCGTGCTTCTTGATGCCTCCCGGCGTCTGCTTTCTCTTCTCGATCTCGAACGGCATCAGGGGCTTCGTGTGTGTGTGTGTGTGTGTGTGTGTGTGTGTGGTGTACGCGAGAGTCACGAAATCAGTCGTGAGACGACGACTCGCACGACACAGCCGACGAAGGGTGTGGGGAGGGTGTAGGGACCTCTCGCAGGAAGATGCCAACGCCCTCGGGCGACAGGGAGCGGAGGTGGATGTCCCGGTCGAAGGTGGGCGTCACGAGCGAGGTCCAGCCGAGCCCCGAGAACACGATGTCGGCGAACGACTTCTTGAGTCCTCCACGCTCCTCATCGGCTGCACCACGAAAATAAAATCAATCAATACCAAAAGAAAAGAATAAAACAACAATAAATTAATCAATCTCGAAATTTAATCAGCAATAAATAATCAATAAATAATAATAAATAATAAATGTACCTTCGATGTGGATGTCCTTGGCGATGAACTCGGGCAGCTGCTTGGCCCGCTCTTCGCCGAGCGGGGGCACGAGCAAGGTGCCCGCGTGCTTGGACATGACGTCGTCGGCCTTGGCGATGGACGTCGGGTGCACCTTCAGCTCCCTGATGACGACGAATGATGATGAACCTGGCATGTGAGTACTCGAACCGCGGTGTACACTGCAGTGGGCCACCACACCAAACGCCAGAGGAGTGGGAACGGTACTTGGAGAGGAAGAGCGTGAGATAGAGCGGGCCGGGTCCATCGACGTAGTCCAGCCGGCCCAGCCCGCCGAAGAAGAGCGCCTTGCCGGGCACGAGGCGATAGGTGACTATGCCGCGCAAGTGGACCCGGGTTGAAGTGAGCACCGTGCGCTCGCTTCATCATAGAAGTGAGGCTTCGGAAGGGTTGGCGTACCGGGCTGGATTCGGCGCTTGGGCAGCGTGATGCTCAGCTCCTCCATATTGAGCAGGTTGGCCATCTGGTGCTTGTTGATCACGCCCGGCGTGTCGTAGAGGAAGGCCCGCTTGCCCATTTTGAAAGCTGCAACGAACGCACACAATTCGCACAGGCACCCGTGTGTGTGTGTGTGTGTGTGTGTGTGATGTGTGTGTGTGTGTGTGTGTCGTTAGGTCCACCGGACAAGACAACTGCGCAGAGCAACACAAACGAGGGGCAAACGCACCCTTCTTGCCGCCGAGAGGGAAAGAGATGAGGTTGAGCGTAGTGCCAGGCACGATGGACGTGGTGATCAGATTCCTCTTCTTCGGGCCTTGTACAATGTGGACCGTGAGTGACTGCCTTGGGAATAGTGCCGAACACACACACACTCCACACCACACCACCACACCACACACATTGTAGGTACCCTTGGTGTTGATGGAAATGAGTCGGTTGATGAGCGTGCTTTTGCCCACGTTGGTGCAACCGACCACGTAGACGTCCCGCTCCTTGCGCAGCTGCTCTATTTTCTGTCAAGTGGCGGCGGTGGTGGTGAGCGTTAATAACATCGCACACCGGTTGGGTTGGCAGGTCATGTAGAAGCATGTACCCGAGACAACGAGTGCACGCCCTCGCCCGACTTAGCCGAGATCAGATGCACGGATCGCACGTTCTTGAGGCCCATCTCCGTCGCCAGCCGCTTGAGCCAGATCTGAATCCTCTCCGGCTTCGCTCCGACCGGCAGCAGATCCAACTGTGCACAATCACACCGTCAATAAATCAATATATAACAAATAAGAATAATAACTAAGAATAATAACAATAAATAATAAGAATAAGAATATGAATAATATAGGCACCTTGTTGCCGACAAGGACGACGGGGTTGTTGCCGGTGATCCCGCGAAAGTCGTTGATGAAGCTGCCGCTGAAATCGAAGATGTCCACGATCTTGACCACCAGGCAGGACTGGTCGGAGATGAGCTTGAGGTGCTCCTTGACCTCCTCGTACGGGACCTTGAGCGGAGTAACGATGCCGTGGTGCCGCAGGCTGTGGCAACGCTGGCACACCGGAGCCAAGCCCCGCTCCTCTTGCTTCAGCACTTGCGGAGGTCTGCCCAAAGCACAAACAATGACAAAAAAAGAATAAGCATGACAATAGTGAAAATGCCATCAGGTGGTGTGTTGTGTGTTGTGTGTTGTGTGTTGTGTGTTGTGTGTGCTTTCTACACAGTATGCTGTTAGGTTTGAGCGCGAGGAAGCGTACTTGTAGCCGATGGAGTGCGGGTCGTCGCTCTGTAGCGTGGCGCCGCACCCGGGGCACTTGTGGTCTTTCTGCTTCTTGCTCGCCATGATTTCTTCATCTTCCTGCAACACTACATCAACGCAATCACGTGGTTGTGAGACCATCAGCACAAGCACCGCTCGTCACCACTCGTCACCGCAGCATCGCAGCCATCGAAGAGGAGCGAGGGCCTCAGGGCGGCGTACGCTGGTCGGCCTGGATGATCAGTCCGCCCTCCATGCCGGCGGGCGCCGCCTTGATCTTCCTCGACTTGTGTCTGGCCTCGTCTTCGTCAGGCAGCAAGTGGATCACATCAGGTCCGTCCAGCGCTGTAGACCACCACCACACCACACCACAATGACAGTAACGCAGATGGTGGTGAGTCGGACGCCAACGACGAGAGGAAGGGTTGTTAGCTGGTACCGGCAAGAGGGTTGGGCTCGCGGGCGGTCTGCTGTGATGGCTGCGGCGGAGTGGCCTTGGGGGATGGCGCCATGGGCGGGTACTTGGTCTCGTCGAAGCCCTTCACACCACGGCGGCCGTTGCCCGAGCCCGATGACGACGCAACACCACGCGCACCTGCCCAAACAAGTATTTTTTTAATTAATTGAAATAAAAGATTAAAATACTAAAATCAACTTAATCAGAAGGGAACTGGTACCAGAGGGGGCAGAAGAGGGCGGGCGGAAGGGGAGCGGGAAACCCATCGGCAGCCGCACGTACGATCGCGCAGATGAAAGAAGGGACGTTGTGGCTGAAGGAGATGCAACGGGATGGAGATTTAATCGCAGGACGGAGGAACCCACCGGCACGACCGCACCCGAGCTGTGAAGACCACCGCAGCGGAGGTGGTCCGCACGAAGTGGCGAGCCTCCCACTCTCCTGCTACACCGCAGCATGGCTGTGCTCATCAATTCCAGAACAAATTGGAAAATAAAAACAAAAACTATAAAATAATCTACCGAATTGTTTTTCTAAATCTTAAAGAGAGAGGATGGAGAGCGGGCCAGAAGGAACCAGAGCAAATGGACACGCGAATGGAGACAAGAAGCATGCTAGCGAAACAGAAACGGCGCAGATGGAGGAATATCTGAAACGAACCACCCCACAGGCGCTACTCGAGCACATGAAGCTGTACGGTTGCTTCGATCAACTTCGCTCAGCCCTCACCAAAGAGCTCATCGATTCGGTAGCCACTCATCTTCCCCCCTCGCTGCCCCCACCCCAATTCGCCCATCATTTTTTATTTATTTATTTATTATTTTAATCATTTAAATGTGTACAAAAAAAGGGAGTGCAAGCGCGGCTGCTGGAGCGAGCACGGGCGACAGTGGAGAGCACACGGGCCTACGCGCACGCGCCACCGTTCGATCCGGCCATGACCACCACCAAGCGGCTGCAACACCGCAAGGCCGTCCTCTCTCGTATTCTCGACGAGCTGCATCGGTAAGTGTGCCCCCTCCCCTCTCCATGCACTTGCAACGCGACGCAGTGGTGCCCTGACTTCTCGAACGTTGATGGTGGTGGTGTGACAACCAGGACGTCGCTCCACAAAGAGATCGAAAAGGGCATCCAGGGCGTCGTGCAGGACCCGTCGTCGGCCTTCCACACGCTGGCGCACGCGCAGATCAACGACGCGCTGGAGAGCATGCGCAGTTCAACAGGTACACACCTCTTTTCTTTTTTTCCCCGAGTCACTCACTCGGTGAATGCTGGACTGACTGATGGTCGTTTCTCCTTCGTTCGTCGTCTCCAGGGAAGAGAAAGGACAGCGAGGCGCCGGCGCAGCGCGGGTCTTCTTCTTCCCTCAACCACAACCAGCCGCCGCCCATCGAGCGAGTGGTGGACGGCACGCCGTCCCAGCTCCTCGATGAAATGCTGGGCGCGGGCCGCAGGAAGGTGGAGGGTGACCAGAAGGCCTCCCTGTCGACGGCAGCTGCCGCGGCCAAGCGGAAGCGAGGCAACGGGGACGAGGAGGCCGACTCGGAAGGCCAGAAGGCCGAACCGAATATCAAGGACGAAGGCGGCGCGTCGGCGAGCGGGTCCGGCGAGCAGCGGCCCGACGACGACGACGACGACGACGAGCGCGACCCCAAGCGACAGAAGAAGGGGCACAGCGAAAGCGAGTCGAGCGAGGACGACAGCAGCGCCTCGTCGTCGCCGTCGTCTTCGTCATCGTCGCAGCCCTCTTCGCCTGCGGCCAAACCATCATCGCGCAGCGACGACGAGTCAAGCGACGAAGAAGATGACAAGGATGAGGAAGGCAGTCGTCGAAAGGCCGACAGGAAGAAATCAAACGTAGACGACGACGACAGCGAAGAGGAGGCGAGAAGCAGCAGAACAAAGAAAGCAGGGCGCAAGACGAAGAGGACCATCCAAAGGGCGAGCAGCAGCGACAGCAGCAGCAGCAGCGATGAGAAAGAAGAGAAGAATTCCAGCGATGATGATGATGAAGAGGAGGAAGACAGCAGCGTGACGACGGCGCGTCGACGAGAATCGCGGAAGAGCCTATCGTCACGGCGGCGGCGAGAGTCCCGGTCGGGCGGCCGGAAGGCCAAGCGGAGCAGGCGGGGCAGCGACGCCCGATCCACGGAGGAGGACGACGCCGCGCTCGCTCGCAGGCTCGCCGAGGAGGAGAGCGCCCGCCTCTACCCCCTCCGTCGCCGCGCCTCTCGCGGCAGATGATACGAGCTCTCGCGCAGCTGCGTATTGTGAGCACAGCACAAGGCCACAAAAATGTGTCGTCATGCTCAACCAGCCGCTTGGGGCCTACGTCTAACGTGTTCTCGCGGCCGAGAACGAGCCACGGGGTTGTTAACTAGCCGGGTTCTGAAACACAAGGAATTGCCGGTTACCATGGGATTAACCAAGCCAATCAGCGCACGAGGTGCATAAAAAAAGACTCTATTTTCCTCCAACCGAGCAACAGCTGCGGCGTAGGTAGCCAGGTTACATACCAGGCTACCGCGTCATCATCGTCACGAAATGGGGCTTGTGCAGCTCTCTTTCTGGAGCTTGTTGGAAGGGCGCCTTGATCGTTTGGGCGAGAGTGCCACAACCTAACGTTCTCGAACCCAACCACAACCCAAGCAGGCCTCCCTCACCAATACCACACCCATCAGAGCCTCACGCAAGAGAGCAAGCCAAGAGCCAGGAAGAACCGAAGAGGTGACCAAAAGAACGAAGAAGAACGAAGGCTAAGGTCGAAGCCAAGGTTAACCATAGCTACTGCCCCACTCGAGTGAGGAAACGAAGCGACCCCCCACCGCGATCCCTTCCTGGCTAGGTCAGGAAGGAAGAAGTTGAAGAAGAAGGCATGAGCACTCTTCGCAAGTGGAGGAGCAGGCCGGCCGCGGGCAAGTCGCCCTCCGACTCGGCCGAGCCGCAGCCCAAGGACTGGGGCACCAAGGAGGTCGCCCGGTTCCTCGAGCAGCAGGGCCTCAACGCCTACGCCCCGGCCGCCAAGAAGTCCAAGCTCAAGGGCACCCACCTCCTCAACGCCGCCTCCACGCCCTTCTTCATGTCGTCCCACATCTCCCCGCCCACGACACCTTCTTCTTCTTCATCATCACCATCATCATCGACCCAGCCCTACGCTGCCGCCGGCGAGTCGAAGCCGGGCGGCCCGCCGCAGCTGCGGGTGTCGACGTCGTCGCCCAACTTCGGCACCCTGGCCCGGTCCAAGAGCTTCATCTTCGGCCCGGCCGGGCCGCGGCGCAACGCCAACCCGGCCGGCCCCGGCGGTGGCTGTGAGTCGGAGGCCGCCCTGCGCCGGCTGTGCGACCAGCTGGGCGTCCTGTCGGTGGTCGACAAGCGGCGGCTGTGGCTCGCGCTGCTGATGCTCCAGCGCCAGCAGGACGAGCTCCAAACCCAGGCCCAGGCCGCCAAGCACTACAACAACGGCGGCGGCCGGGCAAAGGCGGCGGCTCAGCCGGTGGTGGGCCTGCCCTGCGCGATCAAGCAGTTCGCGGCGTCGGAGAAGTGCATCGCCTTGCGCAGGGACGGACTGGCCACGCGCCTGCGCTCGAACTCGGCCACGCCGCCCCAGCCCGCACCCGAGGTGTTCGGCGGCGACAGCGGTGGAGATGCCAAGGCAGCGCCGGCGGTGGTGGCGGTCGATGACCCCGTGGCCGGGGAGGAGGCCGGGCGCAAGAGATCGTCGTCGTTCTCGTCGGTGCCGCTGATCACCAACTCGGACGACTTCCTCGCGGTCGCGCCGACGCAGCCCGCCCAGGCCCCGGCCCAGCCCGCCGCAGTCGCCGAGGCCGCTCCCCAGTCGCCGGTGGTGTCGCCGTTCAGCGCTCGCCGGGGCTCGATCAGGCGCAAGGTCAGCCGCGAGCAGGCCAGCGCCGCTGGCCTCCCGGACGACCTCGTCGCGCCCTGTCGACATCGGGCAGCTCGTCGCCCACCCGTAAGAACCGGTCTTCAATCGGACCGGTCGCCACCATCCGCAAGTGGATCACCCCGGCGGCCGCCGCCCAGGCCGCGCCCAGCGTCACCGTGGCCCAGACCGACTCGCCTTCGTGTTCTCTTTCGTCGTCTTCGTCATCGTCTTCGCTTTCGTCGTCGTCTTCGTCATCGTCGGAGGAGGGCTCCAGGGTCCCGCTGCCGGCTATTCCGTTGGCCACGTCGTCGCGGGCGGTCAGGACCGCGGCCGCCTCTTCGCAGCGCTCGCCGGCCAAGCCGCAACAGGCGCGGCGCAATCCTACCCTGACCTACGCCGAGCGACACGGCGTGGTGGTCGTCAAGTGCTGCCTGCAGCTGTCAGCCCTGACCGTCATCGACACCTGCTCGATGTCCATCGTGCCCACCCGCCGCGTCTCGAGCGACAGCGACAGCGACGAGTACGCCAGGTGGTCATCGTCGGGCGACGAGCTGCCCGACGTGGAAGAGCGCCAGCTGCGGCGGAAGAAGGCCGAGTCGACCTACCACGACGACATCTCGCTGCTGCGGCTCGACGCCCGGCGGCCGCTGCTCTACGCCGACCTGATGGCCGAGGTCCACCGGCTCCACGGGCCGCTCCTGCTGGCCATCCTGATGCAGGAGGGCGCCAAGGGCGTGGTGCGGATCAGCTACCGGGACGTCGAGGGCGACCTGGTCGGAATCCAGAGCGACGACGCCCTGCGCTACGCCTACGAGGACTGGCGCAAGCAGGCCCGCCGACGGCCCCGCAAGCACACCTTAATGCGGCTCCTCGTCGAGGTCGAGTCCACCTCGCCCCGGTGTAACAAGTAAAAAAATCAAAAAGTTTAGAATGATGTAAGGTGCGGGCTTGTTTGTGTTGTGTCTATACAGTGTTGTGGTAGGTGGCCGGAGGCGGTCGGTAGTGCGCGAGTACCCGCTCCCAGTTCTTGTGCATGAACGCCGACCTGTTGATGCACCGCACCCAGTCCTCGATCTCCTGATGTGGATCAAGGGTTGTTAGACATCCATCAACCGCGCAGCCTCCGACGATCGTCGATACCTCTTGGCTCGCGGAGGAGAAGACGTAGGTACGGCCGGGCGTGTGCAGGTGGAAGCACGCCCGCTTCTTGCCCGCCAATTCGCTGGCCTCGATTTCGCCCTCCACGCTGCTCAGCGGGATCACGTTGATCGGCTCTTCCTCCTGCGGCGCATCCACACCCCACGCGCGTGTGTTGGATTCAACCATCACAAGCTCAGTTGGTGGCGTGGGTTGGGCACCTTGTCGTCGCGGAAGTAGTGGATCTCGTGGTGCTGCAGTGTGGTGTAGCGGTGCTTCCAGGTCTTGATTCGCCCGCCCTGCTTGATCAGGTGGCCCCTCTTCTTGGTCGCTTCCAGCCAGGGCTGCGGTGGCCACCAGAACAGCACACGAGGTGAGTCAACACCGCACACACCGCACACGCGGCCGGAACATATGGGAGAAGAGGGTCACCTTGGTATCGACGTCGATTCGGTAGAGGTTGCAGTCGCTGAGGACGTGCTGAGGGTCGACCACGCGCCGGGTGAGCGAGGCGTAGTAGTGCTCGCCGTCGATCAGGTAGCACGTCTGGTAGATGCCCGGCAGGAGCGTTATCCGCACACTCCACCCTGTATGTGGAAAACGGTTTGGAACCGGTTCACACGCAACACAGCATTCAGCCAACTGAACACGCACACGCCGCACAAGCCGCCTACAAGGAAGGTGGGGACGCACGGGAAGAGGATGGCGAGCAGGGCTGCATGGCCTTGGATTTCCACTTGGCGTGGAAGTAGGACTTGTAGATCAGCTTCACCTGGAAGAGTTCACGGACGACCATCACCGCTACGTGAGCGCGAGGCTCGGCAAGAACGAAGAACGAAGAAAAGAACGAAGAATGCGAAGGGGGGCGGGTACGGAATGAGCGGGACCAGGCCAAAAGAAGGTGACGGGGAGCACGGTCTTGGGGTGAAGCCTGACCAGGGGCCCACGCTTCATCCTCTGTCGCTTGCCCTCCTTCTCCTCCTCCCGCTGCTCGAGCTCGTCTCGTCGCCTGGTCCGCCGCTTCTCCCGCCGCTCCGAGGCCGACAGCGCCTTCTCCCCGCGCCGCCGCCGCTTCTCTTTGTTCTTGTTCTCCGAGTCCGCCTTGCCGCCGGCGTTTGGTCGCTCGCCCTCCTCTCCCTCGTCGCCGTCGTCTTCGTATTCGGTTGTCTCCGCTTCGCTGGCCGCCTCGCCCTCGTCGTCCTTGTCATCGCACTCGCTCACAGTGACATCGGCTTCGTCTTCGTTCTTTTCGGCTTCGCTCTTTTCATCAGCGTCTTCATTGTCGGAGCCGGCGGAGTCAGAGCCAGAGTCGGTGGCGTCGCTGTCCTCCGACGACGAGTAGTACGACGAGTCTGAGTAGAACTTCTCCTCCGCGCCGTTGTCGCTGTCGTCTTCCTCGATCGTGGCCGCGAACAATGTTCGGCGCTTCGCCGCTTGGTTGAGATTGTCGCCTGGGCTGTCGTCGTTGGTCAAGTCCTCGAGCGGCTGCTGCTGCGGCGGCGGCGAGGCCTCGGCGTCGTTCACGCCTTCGGACGACAGCAGGTCGTCGCGTGGGAGGTTCTCGTCATCGTCGCCCTCGTCGTCGGTGATGCTGGAGGCGGTGTCGATGTCCTCCTCCTCGCACAGCGAGGGACCCTCGCGGCGAGGCTGCACGCGCGAGCCGGACCGCGGCTTGGGAGACGCGCCTGAGGCCGCCGCCGTCGCCGCCACAGCCCGCTCGTCCTTCTTCTTCGACTTCTTGCGTCGCAGCGAAATGATGCGCTTCTTCTGGTGCGGCTGTTGCCTTTCGAACTCTGCGACAGGCACTGCGCACGCACATTCAATCAGCTCTCAAATCACTACGCGCAGGGCGCACACACGACACACAAATGTGGTGCATGGTCACCTTTCTTGAGGCTTTGTGTGAGGGCTTTGAGGCCGTGGCGGCCGCCAGAGCGATCGGAGGACCGTTTGGGGCCGAAGCCGCGCTTGGCGGCGTGCCGCACCCACGTCTTGACGGCGTACTTGTGCATCAGCTTCTTCACGTGCTCCGGCCGAATGCGCTGCGTTTTGAGTGAGTCTCCAAAGGTCAGTCACGCGACACAGCGGAGAGGGGAGTGACGTGACGAGAGCAAGGTACCTTGCACACGAACTGGAGGTTGAACGAAACGACAAAGTCGTCGGGGAAGTTATCGGGAAGCGGGCAGCCGGGATGCTGGTAGTAGATCCCGTCGGCCCAGAACTTGAAGTGATAGACTGCCGGCTGCATTAACCACAACACA